ATCGGTACAATCGGCGCTCGCGGCGTTTCGGCTTTTTCCGTCAATCAACGAATTTTGGGGGTTTCTTGGGTTGGTTTTTTTGGATCCTCTTGGGAGTTTCAACTTTTGGGGATCGATTTGGGTTTTTTTGGGTGAAGATTTTTCAGTTTGGGGGTTTTTTTTGGTGTCGTTGAGGGGTTTTTTGGTTCGTTTTAGGGGTTTTGGCGCTTTTTTTTGGGTGGTTTTTCTCTTCATTTTGGGGGTTTGAGGGTTTTTTTTATGAATTGATTGATTTTTTTTATGGTTTTTCACCTTTTTATCTGATTTTTGACATTTTTTGGGGGGTGATTTTCACTTTTTTCCCAGTTTTAAAAAAAAAAAAGGTTGGTTTTCACCTGTTTTAAAAATTGTTCATTTTCAGCGTTTTTCTCTTGGTTGTTTTTGAGTCTTTTCTCCTCATTTTTTAGGGTGGATTTTTCACCTTTTTCTGATGGTTTTAGATTTTTTTTCTGGTTGTTTTTCACTTCTTTATTATTTTTAGGTTGATTTTCACCTTTTTAATCTGTTTTTATTTCCACCTTTTTACATTTTGCTTCATTTTCTTGAATTTTTGGGTTGTTTTCCTCCTTTTTTCTTATTTTTTGGTTTGTTTTTTACCCTTTTCCTGCCTTTTTTGGGTCGATTTTCTCCTTTTTGTGTCACTTTTCACCCTTTTCCTGCCCTTTTTGTGTCACTTTTCACCCATTTCCTACTTATTTGGGTCGTTTTTTCCCATTTTTGTGTCAATTTTCCCCTTTTGGGCTCAATTTTCACCCTTTTTGTGACGATTTTCCCCTTTTTGGGTCAATTTTTACCTCCTTTCCTGCCCTTTTTGAGTCTATTTTCTCCCTTTCCCTGCCCTTTTGGGTCTATTCTTCTCCCTTTTCTTGTCTTTTTGGGTCCATTTCCCTCTTTTTGTGTCAATTTCCACCTTTTTATTGACATTCCCCTTTTTTTGGGTCAATTTTCACCTCTTTTCCTGCCCTTCTGTCTCATTTTTCTCCCTTTTCAGATAATTTTTCCCCTTTTTTGTGTCAATTTTCTCCCTTTTCCTCCCGTTTTTGTGTTGATTTTGCCCTTTTTGGGTCAACTTCCCCCTTTTTGGCTCAATTTCCACCTACTTTCCTCCCCTTTTTGGCCAATTTTCTCCCTTTCCAGCTCCTTTTCTCCCTTTCTGTGTCAACTTTCCCCTTTTCCCTCTCAATTTTCACCTCCTTTCCCTCCCTTTCTGCTCAGTTTTCTCCCTTTCCAGACCCTTTTCCCCCCTTTTTGGGTCAATACTCCCCTTTTTGGGTCGATTTCCACCTACTTCCCTGCCCTTTCACCTCCATTTTCTCCCTTTCCAGTTCCTTTTCCCCCCTTTTTGGGTCAATACTCCCCTTTTTGGGTCCATTTCCACCTACTTCCCTGCCCTTTCACCTCCATTTTCTCCCTTTCCAGTTCCTTTTCCCCCCTTTTTGGGTCAATACTCCCCTTTTTGGGTCGATTTCCACCTACTTCCCTGCCCTTTCACCTCCATTTTCTCCCTTTCCAGTTCCCTTTCCCCCCTTTTTGTGTCAATTCCCTCCTTTTTACATCAACTTCCCTCTTTTCCATCTCAATTTTCTCCCTTTCCAATCCCTTCCCCCCACTTTTTGGGTCAACACTCCCCTTTTTGGGTCAATTTCCAACTCCTTCCCTTCCTTTCCAGCACCTACTTCCCTGCCCTTTCACCTCCATTTTCTCCCTTTCCAGTTCCCTTTCCCCCCTTTTTGTGTCAATTCCCTCCTTTTTACATCAACTTCCCTCTTTTCCATCTCAATTTTCTCCCTTTCCAATCCCTTCCCCCCACTTTTTGGGTCAACACTCCCCTTTTTGGGTCAATTTCCAACTCCTTCCCTTCCTTTCCAGCCCTTTTCTCTCTTCCCAGACCCTTTTCCCCCCTTTTTGGGTCAATACTCCCCCCTTTTGGGGCATATTTACCAACTCTTCCCCTCCTTTACCTCCCTTTTCTCCCTTTCCAGACCCTTTTCCCCCCTTTTTGGGTCAATACTCCCCTTTTTGGGTCGATTTCCACCTACTTTCCTGCCCTTTCACCTCCATTTTCTCCCTTTCCAGTTCCTTTTCCCCCCTTTTTGGGTCAATACTCCCCTTTTTGGGTCAATACTCCCCTTTTTGGGTCCATTTCCACCTACTTCCCTGCCCTTTCACCTCCATTTTCTCCCTTTCCAGTTCCTTTTCCCCCCTTTTTGGGTCAATACTCCCCTTTTTGGGTCCATTTCCACCTACTTCCCTGCCCTTTCACCTCCATTTTCTCCCTTTCCAGTTCCTTTCCCCCCCTTTTTGTGTCAATTCCCTCCTTTTTACATCAACTTCCCCCTTTTCCATCTCAATTTTCTCCCTTCCCAGTTCCTTTTCACCCCCTTTTTGGGTCAACACTCCCCTTTTTAGGTCAATTTCCATCTCCTTCCCTTCCCTTCCAGCCCTTTTCTCTCTTCCCAGTTCCTCTTCCCCTTCTTGGCTCAAACTTTCCCTCTCAATTCCCACCTACTTCCCCTCCCTTTCCACTCAACTTCCTCCCTTCCCAGTTCCTCCCCCCCCTTTTTACATCACCCCCCTCCTTTTTCTGCCAACTTCCCCCTTCCTGTACCAATTCCCACCTACTTTCCTGCCCTTTCTACCCCATTTTCTCCCCTT